ACAGGGTTCAATTCTTGGCCCTGTGCTATTTACACTTCATGTAAATGACTTAGAGCTACCCAGCGTGAAGTGGATCTATTAAAAAAATCAGTGGATGACTTAACATATACAGTGCAAGTGCAAAAGGAACTTCTAAGCAATTTGAAAGAACAAAATATTAAATCAAATCTGATAATTCCAAATTCGCCAACTGTAACCATTCAAAAAAATATGGACAAAAAACATAAACAAACGCTAAACATTTTACCAACACCTGAAAGTACAATACCTGCAATAATTGCAAACAAGATCGATCCACCTAAGGACTTTCAACAAAAGGTGGAGCCACAAAACCATAACAACAAAACATCTGATGATTTTACAACTATTACATACAAAAAAACTAAAAAACAACAAAACAAAATAGTTGGTAATAACTCTGAAATAAAAATAAAAGGAGTAGCAAAAATGCAGTCTGCTTACATCTCAAGAATGGATGCTGAATCAACTGTTGAAATAATAACACAACATCTTAAAGAAAACGGAATTACAACGTGCGAAGTTAAACTTGGATACTCTAAGTATCCGAATATCTACAAGTCGTTTATCATCACAGTACCAGAAAATCTTCTAGAAAAAGTTAAACAGCCAAATATGTGGCCTGAAGGAGCCAGTATTTCTAATTTTTTATACAAGCTACAGAGTCTAATAACTACCGAAACTCCACCACAGGTTGCCTCACAAGTTTAAATCACAACATAAAAGAAGAAAGTGCAAATAAAAATTACTTTAATATTCTACATCAAAACATTCAAAGCATTAGAAACAAAACACTGGAATTGGAAATATTTTTGTCAGAATCTATGGTACAATATGATATACTCACTTTTTCGGAACATTGGCTAAACCCACATGAATTTAAATCAGTTACAATAGACAACTACACTGGTGCATCTTGTTATGCTAGAACAGTAACATCACATGGCGGCACTTGTATCTTTGTTAAAAATAATATTAAATTTTATGAAATGGAAAATCTAAAACACATGAGTCAGGAAAAGCAGCTTGAGTGCTCGGCAATTTGCATGGAAGAGAAACAAACAGTGGTTCTAGTTATCTACAGATCTCCCTCAGGTAACATAGAGAACTTTTTTAATGTTTTTTTGAATATATTAGAGTTTTTAAATAGTAAATTGGCTAAATATAAAATTTTTATATGTGGTGATTTTAATATAAATTTTTTATCTCAGGATAAAAACACACTTAAATTTAATGATATTTTAAACAGTTACAACATAAAGACTACTATTAAAACTCCTACAAGGGGTGATAATTTGATCGATAATATCATTGTCAATGACAATGTTCAGGTGCACCTCACGAACAACATTCAAAATTTACTGTCAGATCATATGGCTCAATCTCTAGAAACATCAGTTAAAAATACAATTAATAAAACTTATAACACTAATATAAAAAAGAGATTTTTCTCAAAATTTGCGGTTAAAAGCTGTTCCATTGAATTTGCTAAAAAAGATTGGTCTGACATTCTGCTAAATAATGATATAAATAAAGTATATAGTTTGTTTTCGATGGAGGTATTGAATTTGCTAAATAAATATTTTCCCGAAAAAATATGTCAACAATCAAACCTAAAAAACAGTTGGATTACTAAAGGAATCAAAATATCATGTAAAAAAAAGAAAGAGTTATATGCTCAACTACAATTTGGAATTATTTCTAAACATTTCTTTAAACTTTACTGTAGTATATTAAAAAATGTAATAAAAAAAGCCAAACAAATATACAACATTCACTTTATTAATAATTCAAAAAATAAAACAAAATCATCTTGGACATTAATAAACAACTTATACAATAAACCAAATAAGAAAAATAATATAAATATTGACAAGATAAAAAAATCAGGGGAACAAAATTTAGATACATTAAATAGAATAAATGATTTTTATATAAATATTGGAAAGTCTAATCTAAAAAATGATAATAATAATATAAACATTTTACCTACCCAAAATTCAATTTTTCTTTCGGAAACAGATTATGTGGAAATGGCTAATACTATATCAGAACTTAAAAATAGCAAGTCAACAGGAACTGATGAAATTCCTATAAAATTTATAAAAACCTTTAAATTTTTCTTAATAGTACCATTAACTCATATATGCAATTTAGCTATGCATCTGGGTGTTTTTCCCGACAAACTCAAAGAAACTATAATAACGCCTATATATAAAAAAGGCAATCAATCAGAAATATCTAATTACAGGCCAATTGCCCTTTTAAATAATTTTGCTAAAGTTATTGAAAAAGTTATTACAAAAAGAATTATAAGTTTTATAAATAAATATAATTTATTTTCTAATAAACAAAATGGGTACATCAAAAAGAGATCTACAGAAAGAGCTATATATCAAGGCATTGAGGAAATAATAAAATCTTTAAATGGAAAAAACAAAACAGTGGGGGTATTTTTGGACCTTTCAAAGGCATTTGATGCTGTCGATCATAGCCGTCTTTTATGTAAACTGTTTAAAATGGGTATAAGAGGAAGAGCATATAATTTATTACAATCGTATTTATTTAATAGACAACAAAAAACTGTTATATTTAATGATACAGGACAAAGGATTCATTCAGATTGGGCATCTGTGGTAAGAGGAGTCCCTCAGGGCTCTGTTCTGGGACCCCTGTTGTTTGTTCTCTATGTAAATGAACTGCCTCAATATGTTGAAAAATTAGTTTCTTTTGCTGACGACACAAGTGTTATTATAAGCTCAAAAACAAATGAAGACGCTTTAAAAACAACAAAACAAACAATAGACACCCTCAAGGAATGGTTTGACAATAATATACTTACCTTAAATGTAGAAAAAACACAATTAATTCAATTTTATTCTGGATTTAAAAATAATGAAGTCTATAACATTGAACTAGAAAATGGTACTATTTTAGAAAGCTGCAACGAAATTAAATTCTTAGGGCTAACAGTGGATTCAAGACTTTCCTGGAAACAACATATAAACACACTAGCACCTAAACTTACCTCACTAACATATCAATTAAAAACATTAAATTATCACATTAACACCAAAACGGCCCTAAACATGTATTATTCAAATGTATACTCTCGAATTAAGTATGGGATTATATTTTGGGGAAATTCCACTGATGTAACAAGAATAAAACTCCTGCAAAAAAGATGCCTACGAAGTATATTTAATCTACAGCACAATGACTCGTGTAAACCATTTTTTAAAAAGTTTAAAATTCTCACAGTAACTTCAATTTATATACTAGAATGTGTTATGTTTTTAAGGAAGAACTCACTTTTTTTTGATAGACGATTCTTAACTCATACTTATGAAACTAGACATAAAAGTTTTAATACCTGATAAAACACATTTGTCATTAGTTCAAAAAAGTGTAAAAAATGAAATAATAAAAATTTATAATCATATTCCACATCATATAAAAACACTAAATGAAATTTTAAAAATATTACAACTTCAGTGTTTTTACTCCACAGAGGAATTTTATGATTATAAATTTTAAAATATTTTAGTTGAAAGTCTATTTTAAAACCTATTTTACCAATTTGTTATTTTATCTTTACCTTGTATGTTCAATTATTGTTAATACTTTGTGTACTTGTATTGTATCACTATACAGCTATTTATATTTCTTTGTATTGACGTGTTCGTTGCCCAAGAGGCTTTTTTGAATAAAGATTATTATTATTATTACCTGAAGGAAAACTGTTTAACCACGCTATACGCCGATGATACAACACTTGTACTATCAAACAAAAGTAACCATATTCTTGAGATGGAGTGCAACGCAAACCTGGATTTGTTATCGTCCTGGTTTTCCTATAATTCACTCTATCTGAATGCAACCAAGACTAATTACGTGAGATTCTCTACTCAGGGTTATGGGCCTAGTGAATCTCTCAATTTAAGTTTGTCGATTGATGGCCTAGATATATCAAGAAAAGACCACCTTACATTTTTAGGTATTATTCTTGATGAGAAACTAAATTGGAAGCATCATTGTGACTTTTTGATTTCAAAGTTAAGTTCTTTAGTCTATTTATTTAGAAATCTTAGACAAGTATTGGTTTTGGAAAAATTGAATCGTTTAATTGAGAAAGGGCTTAACTAACATTTTGTTACTTTTAAGAAAATCAACAAAAACTTATTGGTAGTTTAAAAAAAAATATGATAATGGCATTTTTTGGCATAATTATTTTAAGACCCAGTAGCTTAGTTGTTTTCAATATTAAAACGAGTATGTTTTTGATAATGAGGGGAAAAAATGGAATTAGAAAAAAATTCAGACGGTACCTTTCTCAAATAAACGTTATTTTTTTCCAAGAAACCGCTTGAATTTATTTTTGAAACATCAAATAAGAGTTGTTTTTATAAGAATCACCTAAATAACAACAATAATAATATTTTAAACATTGAACATTTATTTAAAAATTTAACAAACTTAAACCTGTAGTGCAATCGCCCTCTTTTTGGACATTTTTTGTAGCCATACCAAAATTTTTTGATAGAATGGGTGATACTCCTCTGGAACGTAGGACATCGCTTCACCGATATCTGTTATTTTTGTTTCCAATATTGGAACTTTTTCTTGTTGAGGCTTTTTTTCAGGCATTCTAAGAGCAACTCTTCTTGGCATATGGATTTGAAAAGTATGTCTGGTCAAACCTCCAATGTAATCTGAGCACACAACATATCCAGGTGATTCTGAGTTATGTATCAAATGGTAAAATTGGGATATAGAAAACGCTTGCTTTTGTGCTCAGGGAATTCTTGTGTGTGAAGTCTCTATAGATATTACATTTTTTTTATAAAATTTTGGCCACCAATTTTTAAAATCTGCTATAATGTCTTTTCCTGAAACCTCCATAACAGTAAATTTTTTTTGGGCACTCGAAGCTATTATTATTTGGGTGTATTCGTTAACAGAAAATATGCGATCAGATTTCTTCAAACGCCGTTTGATGACACCAAAATCTCGGTCATTAGGCAAGAAGGAATGCCCTCTGATAGGAAAAAATTGTTCAACTTTTTTGAATCTAATGCTGCACACATACGTACCATGGTATGATTTTTGTTTTGTCCGGGACAATTATCACTATAAAGACGTAATTCTTGGACATTTTCTGGAATTTCTCGTTGAATGTAATCCCACAGAAACGAGCATACATCGTTGGGTCCCTTACTGGTAATACCTTCATGGTAAACATAAAAGAATGCCTTGTCTGTCTTACAGTTGTGTATACCAAAAATATTGACTGTTAGCTGTGTTAAATAAAATAAGTCTTGGACTGGAACTTCAGGTAAGTGTAAATTTTGCATGTAGTCAAAAGTTATTACTGCCAAGTCGTCACGAATCTTGCACTCATCAGTAGATTGCTTTAGTGACCAATAAAACTTTTTTGCTCTTCGTTTATGAACCGCTAGTTCGGCAGCTGCTGCTCTTTTAGATGCATCTCCAAGCGAAGGACTTTTTATTTTAAGATCAAGTTCTTCACACTTGCAACAAGTGTCAACTTGTGGACGGCCAAAATGAAGATCAAAGTGCTCATGAAAATACTTCACAAAGTAAGAATATCGAATTTTGGTTGTTGGATATTTTACTTTGAACATATCAAACATAATTTTCATATTAAGTTTAGCATCAAGGTATAGGTAGGTTTTATTGCTGTAGTGAGTTTCCTTAACAGGAAAGGACTCAATATGCTGACGAATTAGCATGTTGTTCTCTTCTGAAATGGCATTGCCTTTAACGTTTTTTCCCCGCTTGTCGTATGGAGTTATATATACCAACACTGAACAAACTAAGAAATGCCTTTTGACACACCTTTCTTCGCTTGCCATCAATGGGCACATAATGATGAAAGGAACAAGTTTTTTCATTTGCGTTCTCTGGATTTTGAAGTTTAGATCTTCTTTTAACATCAACTACTTCTAAAAGGCCTTGCAAATATATGTCCTGATCATCTTTAGAGTTAAGCGAATGAAACCGATTAAGAAGTTCAATTTTCTTATCATCGTTCAATTTTTCAAAGTATTTCATTGGGCAACTAGAAAATATGAATGATCAGTACATAATAATCGGAAGAATTGACTGACTTCAAACTTACCGACATCCATCTCCAAGCTGTCTTGCTGCTACAGCATTTCCCTTGTAATTAACGTAAGCCTTTCCCTGTACTCTGGACTTCTTAATAACATTCCTTTGGTAATTTTCGTCATTTCTAACACCTCTTTTTCTTTTCTTTGTAGCCTCTTCTACTGAGCTTTCTGACTGGCTGTTGTCGGTATCGCTCATGATTATTATTTATTTAATAAATACAATAACTTCACGCTTTGGAACAACAATATTATGACAACGTTTCTAGGTAAATTCTACTGACAGCTGATATAACCTCGCTGACGCTTGGTCTAGCCATTTATATGAGAAAGGTCCTAACTGATGTCAGTTGGTACCTTTCGCAAATAAACGCCGAAAATTAGATCGAATTTACGGACATTGTACTTATGGAAAATGATCCTTTTCTGCACTAAAAGATGCGTTTACCTTATAGAAAGACGATGATCTGAAAAACTCAAAATGGCCGAAAATGTTAGTTAGTCCCTTTCTCAAATAAGCGATTCAATTACTTTCTTTATATCATGCCCAAGTAGACAGTCGGCTCCGCTATGGTATTTGTTTTTGGGGATCATCTACCTGTGCTGAGCATGTATTTATTTCTCAAAAGCGAATTATCAGATGCATAGCTGGGGTTTCACATGATTATTCATGTAGAAATTTATTTAAGAAATTTAATATATTGCCAGTCCCATGCGTTCAAATTTTAGAATTATTTACATACGTATTTTTAAATAAAAGTAAATTTTCAATGAACTGTGATGTCCATAATTTTAATACACGAAATAAAAATGATCTGAGAATACCTTTTAATCGACTAAATTTAGGTAAAAAGTCTCCAAACAGTTTAGGAATACATATATTTAATAGACTTCCTTTGGAAATTAAAAACTTAAAATCAGTTCACATTTTTAAAACACTTTTGAAGTCATATTTGTTGTCCAAATGTTTCTATAGCTTGAATGAATTTCTTATAATCTAGCTAAAGTTGTTAAAATTTATTTATGTACATTATGAACCATTTTGTAATTTCTTATGTATTATGTTTGTCTATTTCAAATTTACCTTGACGTTTTCTACACATGTATATGTCTTCTTATCAGAGCTACCCTCTAGAAAAACTTCGACGCTTCGCTTCGAAGTCCTCTGGAGAGGCAATTGGTTCTTATCAGAACCACATCCACCGAGAAGTCAGCGTGTGCTCCAGGTCACTGGTCTTCGACAGTGGCCACGAACGAGACCGACACGGCTTCCAGAAGAGAATCCAGCAGGGCCGCTTCCTGGCCCTCAGTAGGGCCGCTTCCAGGCCAACGAGTGGGCGGATCCCAGGCCAGCAACAGGTCCGATCCCAGACCACGCTACGGGCCGTTCCCAGGCCGGGTAGCCGTTTATGCCTATGGTACGGACCCGATCGCAAGCACAGATGGCTGACCCATCTACTGCGGGCGTCGCAACCACACACACCGTTGCCACAGAAGAGGTTGACAACTTCCACAAGGCCGAGGACAGCTTCGTCGACGAGGTAGATCAAGTAGCCCCAGGTCTACCTTCCCCGCCATCCTCAGATGCTACCATCGTTCTCGGGAACCAACCCGGAGGAATACCGATGTCGGCTTCGGGCGGTTCTACGATTTCGCCAGCACCGAACCATCGAGTACAACAGCGCCTATCGAGAAGCTCTGTTTCAACCAATCAAATTACAGGAAATTTTAAGGAAAAGAAACGTTTTCTATTGGCTGTATCAAATTGCAAGAAACATTTGTTTCCAGCCAATCAAATGTCAAAACGCTTTCTATTGGCTAGATTAAGTTTTGCTAAAATTTTACATTTTCCAAATGTCCTTATTTGGTCATACGAAATTCCAAAGCTTCTATTTTGTTTTAGAAACAAGGTTTTCGTGACCAAATAAGGTAATGAAACGAAATATCGATTATCATTGGTTTCAAAATCCTTCCGATTTAATATAAATAGTAATGCCTGCTGCATTAAAATCAGTTCAATTTGACTCTACTCGATGTGCCATCTCGACAAACCAACTGGTAACTTATTTTTGACTTGAAATATTGTTTTTATTGTTTGCCTATTTAAAATTAATTTCCTTCGGGAATTAATTATTGTTTGAATTAAAATTCAAGTGATTGAATTTATTTTGAATTAAACTTCGTAGTTAAATTTATGTTTGATATTTAAAACCCGTTCGTAGAACGAAAATTCAACTGATTGAATTTATTTTGAATTAAACTTCGAAAGATTCGTAGTTGAGTTATTTTTGATATTTAAAAACAGTTCGTAGAACTAAAAAACTTGTAAATTCAAGTGATTGAATTTATTTTGAATTAAAATTCGAAAGATCGAATTTGAATAAAAGAAAAGGTAAACTTCTGGTAAACAATGCCGTACGATAAAAAGAATTTGAAAAAGTTAACTAAAGTAAGGGACACTTTGGTACGTTCTTTCAAATTTCAACTGAAAGCCCGCCAGCCAACTTACCGCATCGTAAGAAATGTTATCGTCAACGCCAATGGGGATGTGATTGAGGATCTGATAGAAACACACCGTCGGCAAAGTCAACAAGGTCAATGATATGCCCATTACACGCTCAGCTTCCAAAATAGCGAAGTGAACGCCGTTACTGAAGAAATCAAGGCTTCTGTGGACACCGTCTTCGAAGACAACGAATTGATTTCCCAAGTCAATAATCATTTAGAATTGGTTGGAACTGCTGCCATGGACACCGTTGCCGACGTGCCCACGCACGTTCCACGTTACCAGATGGACCTTCATGTACCCCTGGTTCTACAAGAACAAGAACAACCCTGCATAACAACGCTGCTAGCGTTTGTTTCAACACTTCAGGTGCATGTAGCACTATTCTGCCTGCCCAATCCGAACCTCAGTCAACCTGCAGCCCTCAGGAAGAACCAAGAGGACGTCATTCCTTGGACCAACCGATCCAATCACAACATGGCGCCCGAGCAGGGACTTTAACAGCAACAAAGGAGTTGTTGGAGTCCAAACCTTCCGGATCCACGGCCCATGGGATGGCCGACTTCCTGAAGAAGTTCGCACGTTCGATGAGAGAAATTCCGATTGAACGCACCAATTATCCGACATTTTCTGGTGGGGAAACCGAAAATCCTCACAGATTTTTGTCCAAAATAAAGACAGCCTTACAGAAAAGGCACATTTCCGAGTTCGACTGGGTCGAAAAAACCGTGGGCCAAATCAAAGGCACCGAAGGCGCTCACTTTGAATGGTACAAGTCACAGGACGTCTCATGGAGCCGTTTCCAAACCGTATTTCTGGCGAAATACGCAAACGACGCGCGTGTAGCGCGTTTAATATCGAAATTTTACGGTGAGAAACAATCCGGTGAAGTGACGCCCTTTATCCAGAAAAAATTCTCAATGGCCCAGTGGCTATTGCCTGAACTTGAAGAATGCCAAGTAGTGCCCGTGGTATTCGAACTCTTAAGCGCGAAAATCCGTTACGTACTACGAAGCGAAAATTTTTCAACTACTAACGTTTACTGTGGCGTGCTCGCGAAGCAGAGGTGGACGCTGAAGAAGCCGATGCAACGCGACCAATGAGGATTACCATCCGCGAACCGTCGGGAAACGGGCCGCGGAGGGGCCCAGAAGCGACAAGCGTCTCTCCGCAGTGAATGAAAATTCAGATATTTTAACCGTGAAAACCCCTGAACACTTAAACGTGAAACCAAAACAATTAGTGAATAAGTTAGTTAATAATGAACAAAAACACTTAATAGTGCGTCCCCCAAGTTTTCCCTTGAATGTGAACAGTTTAGTGGCTGACACAGAATCAAACCCGATTATAACAATAATTATCAACAAGCAACGTTATCAAGCGCTAGTTGACACTGGCGCCCAACGTTCCGTGATTCGCAAGGATTGTGTAAAGAACTACGTGCCTAAACTTGGAAGTGCCGAAGGCGCGGGCGGAAAAACCGTCGAAACACTCGGTTATTCGCGAATATCTAACTTGTCTAACTTGTTAGTGCCCCATCAAATCGAATTGACGGACAAGGCACCCTTCAAAAACCGACCACGAAAGTATACGCCGGATAAAGCGTTGGAGATCGATAAGCAAGTGGAAGCTATGCTCCGGGGGGGCATTATTGAACCATGCTCATCTCCATACGCTTCACCAGTGCTTCTGGTCAAGAAGGAAGGAGGATGGCGATTCTGCGTCGACTACAGAGAACTGAATAAAAGAACCAAAGATGTTTGCAGCGTATTGCCACCAATCGTCGAAACTGTCCGTGACTTAGGAACTGCCAAAGTTTTTTTCTGCTTTGGATTTAACAAGTGGATATTGGCAGCTTCCCGTTGATAAGAAATCACGCGCTTATACAGCTTTCTTCACGCCTGATGGAGCCCAATACCAGTTTACTGCAATGCCTTTTGGATTAAAATTGGCCCCGACTACATTCCAGCGGGCCATGTTAGACATTTTCGCCGGCATGCTGAACAAATTTGTCAAAGTCTACCTCGATGATGTTATTATATATTCAAATAGCATCGAAGAGCACGTTGGACATCTCAGACTAGTTTTGGAACGTCTGGAAGCACATAAACTGCGGTTGAATCCAAAGAAGTGCCGAATTGCCACAACTACGTTGAAATACCTGGGATACCAAGTAGATGGTGCATTCACGAAGCCACAAGAATGTCACTTGACAAAGATCAATAAATTTGAACGACCGATTAACAGGAAGCAAGTCCAAGCATTTATGGGCTTAATAAACTGGCTACGAGGTTACATCCCTGGATTGGCGACGTTAACTGCACCTCTAGCAGAACTGACTGGAAAAACGGATCGATTCAAATGGACTGATGAATGCGAAGCAAGCTGGATCAAAACCCATGAAGCTTTAGAACAACCACATAAGCTTGAAAGACCAAACCCTGCCTGGAAATTCATACTCCAAGTAGATGCCTCAGACGCTGGCAGGGGCGCTGTATTAATGCAGTTGGATGGTGAAGAAAAGAAACACATCATTCATTACAGCTCTGCCAAATACCACCAAAACGAGAAGAATTATCACGTAAACGAAAAAGAGTGTTTAGCAATGGTGTGGGCGATCAAAAGATACAGGCCGTATCTGGAAGATAAATCATTTATCTTAAAGACTGACAACCGTGCACTGGTATGGTTAT